GGTGAACTTTGTTTTCCTGTCTACAGCACAAACCCCATTTAATCCTTAAACACTAAAATTGGAATAATCTTTGTCTATATTTCCAATGTAGTTTTAGTAATTTCCCAGCTCTATAATTTTAATTTGTTCAATGATATTTCCACTTTGAAAACATGCTAATACTAACATTTGAAGTAATAGAATAAATACAAGTTGAGTGCCTGGATTTCTCATGACACTGCTGTTGGAGAGGGTGCTGGTCTGTATTCTAGAGCATTTGTAGGACAGGCAGGTTGTCACTGAACTTAATTTCAAGACTTGATAAAAATACTGCATTTAAGAAAAAATATTTAGCTATGTCAATTATATTTTGATTTCTTAGGCTTGCAACTGTTTCATGGAAGAATGCTGAAAAAGAGATAGCTGTGTTGATGATGGAAAGCAGTCAAATACTCATATAAGTATATTGGTTAAAAAAGCAAGCACATTAGAGGTAACAAAATGTCCATTTTTAGGCAGCAAGAGAAGATTTTTAATATCTATCAAGGGTATCAATATTTTTTTTCCAGATTTGTTGATCATGTACTTGTTTGAAAATAAGGGTCATGTTCTACCATAGCCTTTCTTTGCAGACAAATGGACTAGATAACAGCTACAGGCATTTTTCTGCATGAGGAAATTGAATAAAGACAGTCCAGGCTCCTCTTTGGAGCCAGGAAGCAGCTGCAGAACCAGCCACGCTGCCCATCAAAGTTGCAGCTACAATTAATTTAAAATAACTCAGTGGCAACTATTCCAGAATAAAACCTTATTTCTTCTTTGACGGTGTGCTCCGATGCTAGGCTGTATTTGGTATTGCCAAGGCGTGGAGGAGACCTTACCTCGGGGCCGGTGCTTGGCACCCGAGGAGTCCCCAGTGTCCTCACAGTGGAGCACTCCAGGCGAGCCGCTGGAGGTGGGGGGGGTGATTTATTTTTTAAACCTGGGGTTTCTGAAGCGGCAACCCTCAGGTCAGACCCGGCGGCAGAGTGTCTGCTGTACTGAGCCTAGAGTCCCGGGGAGGGCTGGGGAAGGCTCCGAGCCCCTCTCCGGCAGACCGGGGGTGCCTGCAGCCTCCCGCCGGCAGCTGCGGCCATCCCTTCTGCCCCTGCCTCCCGAACACCTGCGGCAGCATTAGCCAGCCTCGGGCATCCATCGGCGTTCTGCAAACTCAGTGTCGAAAGCCCCCGCAAGGCAACAAACAAAAACCTGCAAAGAGGAAAACGCTGTAATCAAGCAGCAGAGCTTTGGAGGTTTGGAGACGAGAGTGGAGAGAGTTCGGATCAAACGGGATTTAAATGTAAACAGCAATGATATGATCAATAACCACCCCGTGTGCATTCCTCTACTCATTTAACATCAGCTAGGACAGTGCAAATATTGCAAGTGAGTACTCGACAAGGAAATCAGCTGAGCGTGTGTTTAAACTGTGGTTAATTATTAATATGAACAATTCTTTTCAATTAAATGTTTCGTTTAATCCCCTCCTATCGACTTGTCTGGAAAGCTGTATGTCTAGCTTCCAAAACGATAATGTGGGTGCAGACTTATTCTGGGGAATTTTATATAATCCATATAATATCATTCGTGCAATGAATCATCATCTTTACTCTTCTTGCTTTGTTCTAACCAGCTGAGGCAACGAACTATTTTTTATGTAAATACTTATGACAGTTTTTAGATGTTAAAAGGAATTTGTCATGAAGGTCCCTCCAAGTACAGGGGAAAAACACACCTCGGTGAAGATACCAGTCTTGGAAAAGTGAATTCAGAGGGAAAAGCAGCTCATGTTTTGAATAGTAACTTCCGAATAAATTAATTGTGACTAATATATTCCTGCTACCGCTCATAATCTCTTGCCGTGTCCTGGGCAGGTGCCCTCCACCCTTTGCAGTAGGTCTGGCCACCTCATTGCACGGTCCCTCGTTCACCCTACAGAGTTTGTGCTTCTGCAGCTGCCTGCTCCCTGTGTCTGAGGTCTTTCCTTCCCCTGCTACCTTCTTCTAAATCAAATCCTTCAGGTCCCGCTGTAGAAAACAGTCTCTGAAACCTCTGAACCTGCAAAGCCCTTCCTTCCTTCCTTCCTTCCTTCCTTCCTTCCTTCCTTCCTTCCTTCCTTCCTTCCTTCCTTCCTTCTTTCATATTTGTCCTTAATTTCGACTTTCCCAAGCACTGTTCTCATATTCCACTATTTGAAATGTAGGAAGATTTAGCATAATTTGGAGGTCAGATTTCTAAATAAGCCTACTTTAAATAGCAAGCCCACACGGGAGATTGTCAGTATCTTTATTTTGTATACAGTTTACACACTGGCACCGCTTTTTTAAACCCTATATGTGGGTTAAAACTCAATTTTACAACCCCCATTTATATGAGATGTAGGTTTGACATCTGTTTGCCAGAGTGTTTTGCACTTAGCCTAACACCCACTATTAAATGACAAAATTGTGGCAGGCTGTCAAAGCCAGCTGACTGACAGCTGCTCTACTTTACAAAAAAGCCCCATTCAAATATTTGCAGGGTTGAAGCTTTCTGTAACGCTGTCGCCATTCTCCCCGTTATTTAGCATGTAAAATATAAGTCAAAGTTTTAAAGCTGCTTTCCAAAATGTTGCCATTTTTCCATATAAAAAGAGCGAGCGGTGGCTGCTGGCGGGGATCCAGCGCCAAACGCATTGGGTGGATATTTCGCTGGGTCCCCGCGTTCCTCCTATCTGCACAAACCCGATAAAACTGTCATTTAGCAGCGTTTCTTAATATTGCAGCTAATTAGAGCCGGCGTGTTATTGAAGTGAGAGCAAAAATCCACTTAAAAGAGAGGGGAGGGAGGGGGGTGGAAAAGGAAGGGAGGGGAATTTTCCGTGCAGGCAGAGGTACGCAGCCGGGCACGGCTCACAGCGAGACCCCCCCGGGAAAAGGGACGGGCACTGGGGAGGGGACACCGAGGGCATCCCGGCACTCCCGCAGCGGTCCTCCCCCCCTTTTTGCCCCCACCTCCAGGGGTCCCTCTGGGCAGCTCTGGAAGGACGTGCAAGGGACGGCTTTAGCGGAGGGCGAGCGCTGAGCCTCGGCCGGGATGTCTCCCACCTCTAGCCCCACGGATGAGGATGGAACATCCAATTCAGGTCCTTAATACTCGCCCGTCCGATGCCCTGTTCCCCCTCCGAGCGCCAGCACGAGTCTGGAAAGGACAACGGTGGTTTAAAGTTAAAAGCAATCTGCTTTTTATTCCGACATCTCTAATGATTGTATGTGACTGAGCACCTCAAAATAGCTGGCGAGGTAATCCCTGCATGCTAAGGAGTCTTTGCAGCAATTGCTGAGCTTTATCTGAAACTCGGGTACTTCCCGCAGTTTTTGCGAGACAAGCAAGGCTCTGGCTGACAACCGAATCGGAGGTTAATGCTGGGGGTGGGGGGTGGGTTGTATGTAATTAGTTTATTTTTTGAATGAGGACTAGTTCCACCCCCTAATAAAAGGAGACATTCGGCCGTAGGAAGGCGGCTGCCCTCGGTGTCCGTTCCCAGCTCTCTGGCCCCGGCACCTCGCAGGGTTCAGCCCCGACCCGCCTGGATGCTACAGCCCGTTCCACCAGCGGCCAAAAGCATCCCTGTGTTCCCCTCCTCCCTCCCTCCCCGACGCACATCCTCGGCACAGACGGGCAGGCACACGCCCGCACAGCCGGAGCAGAACGGAAAACGGGGCACTCTCAGCTTTACCTGAAAATCTTTAGCTGACTTGTGTCCATTTCAATAACCTCTATCGACTTGCTTTCCTAGAGCGGTTGTCATGTTGGCAGAAAGGGACTGGAAAATAGTGTTTTAGGGGGGGAAGAAAAAAAATGCGGGAAGAAAACTAACGGCGCTGTCTAGGAAAGGGGAGGTGATGGCAATGAGCGGTACAGGGCGGAGGAAGAGCGGACCCTCCGCAGCGATCCTGAGAGGAGAGGGGAGGCTGACAAAGCCCGGCTCCATCCCGAGGGAAGGCCGGGAGAAGGGGAGAGAGAGAGAGGAGGGGGGCTCTGAGCCTCCCTGTGAAATCCAAGTTTATTGTCAACAAAGGAGAGTCTGGCCGGGCTCGGAGCCTCCGTGGTCCCGAGCTGTCGGAGACAGAGTACGGCGGGGGCCGCGGGAGCGGGGTCCCTGCGCGGCCGGGGACCTTGGGGGCACGGCGGGGAGGGCAGGAGCAGGGGCCCGGGGCTGCCGGGGAGGACGCGGAGAGGGTCGGGAGGAAGCGCGGGGAGCCCCGCGGCTCCACACAGGTGCGGGAGGAGCACCTAGGGTTGGCTCTTGCCTTCCGGGAGGCATCTCTTCCAGAGAAAGGGGCAGAGGACAGTGGCCCAGCAGGAGCGGAGAGGCAGAAATGCAAGGTTAGAGGAGAAAGTGCGTGTGAGAAAAGGAAAGGGGAAGAGAAAGAGGACGAAGGCTCCGGGCTCCACCTCCCCGCTCGGCGCGGCGCTCCAGCTGCTCTCAAACCAACTGCTCAATTCTATTCACTGCCGCGACGGAACAAAAAAGTGGCTATTTATTAGAATACTTGTTTGGTATTGTTCGGTGCCACACAAAAGGCGTTTCATTATATTGGGGTGGGGAGAAAAGCCCCTCTCCTTTTTTTTTTTTCCTTTCCTTTTTTTTTTTTCCTTTTCTCTCTAGACCGAAACAATAACTTGAAATTGTCTTTAAAGTCTTTTCTATCAATAATAAATTTCATTTTCTCCTCTGTCTCCCTCTCTCCCTCTCTCCCCCTCTCCTGTGCGGTGTGTATGTGTGTGCGTGCGCGTGTGTGTGTGAGGGGGAGAGAGAGAGCGAGGGAGCGCGAGTGCTGAGTGTGCGTGTGTCGCCGGGCACTCGTGGCTCGGGCACAGCCGCCTGGGAGCTGCGCCGAGGGGCGAGGAAGAGACCGGCGGCTCCGTGTCGCTCTGCCCTGCACCCGCGGCCACGGTCGGAGGAAGGTGTGAGCTAGGCTAGAGCAGAGAGAAAAAAAAAAAATAATAATAATAAGGCTGCCCCTTCAGATGATGTGTTGGGAGGAGGCTGGAGATGGAAGAGCAACTGTAAGTGTGCCTCTAACTTTTGAGGGGGTCTTCACCCTGTCTTGGGAATGGAGGAGGGGAAGCCGGCGAGGGGAGGGCTTCCAAGTTACTTTTGCTTCAAGGAGGGAAGAGCCGGTTGCAGTCACTGGGTTATCGGCTGTGACACGGATTTGGGGGGGTGCGGGTGTGGTGTGACAGCTTTTTGGGCTGCCCCCCTCCGCCTCACTGGGTTTTGAGGCCGGGCAGGGGCAGGGGGCTGCGGGAGGGCTCCGGGGGCGGCGGCGCAGAGCCCGCTCCGCTTACACGTTCCAAAATTAACATGTCGGTGCGCGGGTGCCATTTAGTGAAAGGTGTCTCGGGCAAAGAATCAATTTCGCTGTGACTGACCGGCGGGCTTGGCTGTATTAATACTGCCAAAAAAAAAAAAAGGGGAAATCAATAGGCAGAGCAGCCCTCAGCTATTACAACTAATGCCTGCTTAATCTCTCCCCCTGGGAGAGAGCATTCACATGGGCTCCCAGCACTGCTGCTGCGGCCGTGCTGAGCCCGGCTCGATCTTCCCAAGGAACGGGGATCCCCGGATCCGGGTGCTCTGTAAAAATGACAGCTGCCGGGATCTCTCGACAGGAAGGTTATGCCCAGCCTCTCGAAGCACACTCCCAGCCCGGAGGTTAAGGCTCTCTGGCGTGGTCCCACCCAGGGTCTTACTCTCCCTCCCCAGTTCCAAAGTGGTTGTAGAGTTTTGCTATAAAGTATTGGGATATTAAAAAAGGTGAAATGGATTTTCCCTCTCATAATTGACGGTGGTATTTGAGGTCGATCAACAGGCAATGCAGCAAGGTTGTACATCTATCGATCAGGGAGGAGGCGCGTTTTGGCTGAATCTCTTTTCAGAAACAGGTGTTTAAACATGATAGCGGCTCCAGTCAATTAACCCATTAAAACCCCGTTTTATCGCATCGATTCTGCAGGCTGCCATAAAAGGTTATGTTTTGAAAGCCTCTTTGTTAAGGGGGGGGGG